CACTTAATCCCAGAGCTTAAATGACCCCTGCAGTGACTAGCCCTCCATGTCCTACCTCTAACCCTGACTTCCTCTTCAATTCTAGATTCGTCTAAATACCCGCCCACGTGGCATGCCCCCCTGGGATCTTAAACCTCGCTTACACGAAACTCTTGATGGTCCTTCCAAACTGAATCCTAAATGCAGTGGTGGTGCACCATTGATCTTCGCTCTCCCACAAAAACAGTCACTTCGACTTCTTTTTCTCTCTCTATCCAGTTCTTGGGCAAATCCTAACAGTTCTACATCAGAATAGATTATGGGTGCTGGATGGTGGCACGGCAATGACACACCACTGCAAGAAGGTTCTGGGTTCACACCCAGAAACCTCCCAGAACACGCCAGGCACCTGTGTGCCCATGGTCAGGGCTGGCTGAAGCTGGGGGTGGACTGTGGTGTGAGGACCCTGTACGGGATGCCTGCCTCTCTGTGTCTCTCACTTCTGGAAGAAAGAAAATTTAAAAGGAAATAGATTATGACTCTGATCAGCCACTCTCTCTCCCACCAAGTCTGAGCTGCCGCTGTCTCCAGCCTAAGCTACCAGAGCAGCATCCCTTCAGGGTCCCTGCCTCCCTTTACCGTTCTTCAGTCTGTGCCTCACACAGACACCTAGTGATTCTCCGTAAACACCCAGTGTTGTCCCGCTGCACTCAGAAAAATCTGGTTTCCTCGTCACATCCTATGGGCCTTATAGACCTGCTCCCTGGGCCTCCCACTCTACCCATGCGTGCGCTCCCCTCCCTCTGGCTTCCTTCCTCTTCCTGGAAGGCCTCAAGCGCAGTCTTGACTGAGGGCTGTGCTCTCACTGTTACTTCTTCCCTCTACATCTGGAATTCTTTCCCTCACCTCCTGCAGGTTCAAACATCACCCTTAGCAAGCACCCTCGGCAAAAACAGCACTTCCTTCCCCACCAGCCTCATGACACGTGACATGACCTAACGCAATGCCGTATCTGTCCGGCAGCACTGTTGCCTCTGCTCCGCTAGGAGGTAGAGTCCCAAGGGTAGGAACTTCTCCTGTTCCATTTGCTGTGTTTAACCCTTGTCCCTAGAGCAGTACCTGGCACAGAGTGGGCATTCAAGTATTTGCTGAATGAATGGGGGCATATGGGTGCCCACGGGACTGTCCCCTCCTACCACAGATACATAAGCATCTCCATGGCCGTGAGCCCCGATTTCACTGGTAGCAAGATGCTTCAGCCAGTGTGGCTAGGAGAGGAGGCCTGGGCTGGGCAAGGTGGATTAGCCAGTGAGGGGGCTGAGCTGTCTTCTGACTCTTGTCATGGGGTTGTAGCCTAAGAAGGGCTTTGTTCCCACCCCCTCTCAGCCAGGTCTGAATGAGAGGAAAAGGGTTACTGTCCCCTGGGCAGAAGGATTTCCCAGCAGGGAGGGTGGTGCCTGATCCTGAGGGAGATCAGGATCGCTTGGAGAGAGGGCCTGGCCATGGTAATTCGCTGCCCAGAGAGGCATGCTGGGTCGGGGGACGGTGGAGCCTTTCCAACTAGACACACCCGAGTCACACCAGGTAACTGATGTCACTGACTGTGCCGGGTGGGGCATTCCATCTGCATTGTACTGATGCATGACCTGCAAAGATACCCTTTGCCGAGCCTCGGTTTGCACATCGAGAAAGATATCATGCCCCACCACCGCACAAACCAAAGTACAAAATGCACGAGTCTCTGCCATGGCAGGCGCTGGGGGTCAGCTCTCTCTCCTCCTGGGCAAGCTTTCTGGCAAGTTCTACCCCACCCTTGTGCCCTCTGTGGCAGTGATTCTTGCCTTCTTAGAAGGGAGGATGGTAGGACTATATTGAGAAAAAAGATACCCTTTTTCTTAGGGAAAAGACCGAAACAATATGATGAAGATAGAAAGACTTGCCATATTATAAAGTCCCCTTGCCTTATCTGAGCTCTATGAGGGAAATAATGTGGCTAACAGAACAGCCAGGGAGCCCCGTGTGCGTCACTTTTAGGACAGCTTGAAAGGTTTACTACGTGGCCCATAGATAGTTAGTCTTAACGGGTTTGGCACAGGCTGAGTGAAGGATAACGAGTGGCTTTCAGGGGCAGTGGCAGGAAAGCCAGCCTTGAGAAAGCTGGACCTATCACAGAGGGCCCTCACTAGCCCTTGGGAGGAATGCAGTCCTGTCCAGAGGTGGGGCAGGCAGCTGCAGATAGAATGAGACTGGAAAAGCCACTTCATGGCTAAGCTTGAAAACTCGGTCATGGTTGCTCCTTAGGCAGGTCGTTCGTCAGTGTATTTTGATTCGTGACTCCTGAGAATGTGATTAAAAACTCTGGACCCTCTCTTCCAAAGACTTACTTGCTCTAACACAACATTCTGCCTGTGATTTCAAAGGATGCCTGGACCCGTTGGGAACTAAGTATTCTGCCTTGGGAGTGGGGAGGGCTGTGGGGTTGAAGGAGCAGAATTACAGGAACATTCTGCAGGGCAGAATATGGAGGTAGGAAGGTCCTAAAGGCAACAGGGGAGTGGCTGAGTAGACCATGGTTCTTGCCTATTTGCCTAGAGGTGACTCTTTACGGAAAAATAAAGCTAAGTGTGACGAAAAGCCCACTCAGAACATGGGCCACTAATAAATCTCCAACCACAGCAACAGGGGAAGGAGTGGGGTTGGAAGGACCTTTTCTTTCCTCTCTGAAAACAAAACCCAATTAACTGGGAGTCAGTCCTGTTACCTCAGCTGTTCTCCCTCCTCGCACTTCCCTAGCTGTTCTTCCAAGACTCAGCTCCCAGTCTGCAGCCATAGGCCCAACCCTGCCTTTGAAAGCACTAGAGAGAAATAATGGCCCACCATCAAGATTAGTGGAAGAGCAAGGGAATCTTCTAGCAGACCTCTGGGTGAACAAAGCCCCTTGTGTTGCAAAATGAATTCCTCAAATCTTAAAAAAAAATAAAAAAATCCCAAATACATTCTGTAGGGGGGAAAAGAAATGTCCTCTTGAAAACAAATCTGGAAAAGGTGTTGACATTTTATAGATAAGGAGAATAAATTGCTGCCCAGGCCCTCAGCTAACTATGTCAATAGAACTTAAAGGGCTGAGGGTTCCGGAGCAGATAACCTAATTCATTAGCAGGTTGGCTTCCATTGGCGGAGTCAGTGTGAGTCCTAAATAAGCACTGGGGCTGTTTGAAATGGGTTTCTGGTGCCAAGCTCCCAGGACCATCATTTTAAAGTGTGCACCTGTACTTAAAGAGGCAGGGTGGGGTGGGTGACAGCCCAGGTGAGGAGAGAACACACAGGGTAAGCAGCAGCAGACATCCTGCCCAGCTCCTCAAAACACTGTGTGAGATATCCCACTCTGGGGCTAGCAGTTGGCGTTATGGCTATGTCGCTGGACTCCCATGTAGTCAACAGTGGTTCGAGTCCCAGGCCCAGTGGCTTAAACTCATGCCAGGCGCGTGTGCATGTGTGCCTAAGACCCCAAGAGGAGAATGGAGGAGAAGGGATTATGGCATGGCCGTCCACCCTAGGGGGTGATTTCTCCCTTTCTGTCTGTCTCTCTCTTTCTGGAGAGTACATGAGCCCTATAGCAAAAATGTCTACCAAAGAAAACAAAGAAATCCCACTCTGAGCTGGCTGTGAACTCCGACCCCCTGTGGTAAGTCCATTCACAGAACTCCAGGGATGAATTCCTGTATTAGAGGATTTCAGTTTAACTTTTGGCTAATGACAACTTAATTTATGTCACTCTTGTGGCTATTTTTAAGACTTTTTTTTTTTAAAGACTTCCCCCTCTTGTTCATTCATTCTGTACTGCAGAGTTCGGCTTTGTGATCAGAGTCCTGTTTTAAAATCCAGAATGAAGGCAAAACTTCTGTATCTTGTGGAATAGCAGTCATTATAAAATCCAGAATGAGGGCAAAACTTCTGTATCTTGTGGAATAGCAGTGAAATGGGTTAGAATTTTAGCACGCAAGTGGTCACATTCAGGAGTCAGGAGAACGACAAAGCTGGTTTTCCAGATGCCTTATTTGGGCACTAGTTTCTGATGTGTCATTGATGGTTACTACCCAGGCATTTCAAGGGCAAGAAACCCTTTTTCCAAAAGTGCCTTTTTAGACAGTTCCAGGCAAGTGCCAAAATACAAAGAAAAGGCACTGGATTGTGAGCCCTGAGATGGGGTTCTGGCCCTGCCTCAGCTCCGCATGGGCCAGGGGCCTCAGGCAGGATGCATTCCCTATTCTGAAGCCCTCGGTTTTCTCATCTGTAAAATGAGAATATCGGTCTAAACCATTAGGAGTTCTTCAACATCTGAGTCTCCAATTCTGCACTCCTCACAGAGAAGAGAAAAGGGGCAGAATCGGACCAATCCTGATTCCTCACAGCTCTCCCCACCCCCACGCCCCGCAGAGACCCGGGCAGACCTGGCAGCCTGCTCTGCCCGCACACCTCCTCCCCTCCTGCTGGCTCATGATCACTGTTTTCTCTTGTCAGAGGTGGCCCTGTCCTCTCTACCCGAAGACTCAGCCCCAACTCACCTTCTCGAGGCAGTCTCCCCACATGGACCCCACTCTTCTCCCTCCTCCCCCGGCTCTTGGACCCGATGGGTCTGGCCAGCCAGCACTGCCACTTGTTTGTTGCAGCTCGTAAAATACTTTGCAGTCATTTTCCTGTGGGTGTGTCTTTTCTCCTCAGTGCCCCAGCTTCCCTGCCCGGAAGGTTCTGGGTGCAGAGGTCAGGACTGGAAGGGGAACAAGAAGGTGAGTAGCCCCTCCTTCTGGCCAGGCGGTGGGGGTGCAAGAAGAGACTATAGAGCTGCCACTTTCCTCCTGTCTCGTTTTGTTTGTTTGTTTGTTTGTTTGTTTTTGCAAAAGAGCTTGATACCCACTAAATGAATGCCTTGTGTAGGGATGGCAGTGTTGGGGTGGGCCCCTTCAGGTATGACAGGCAAGGGTGTGCTTGGATGTGTGGTGGCGAAGGTGGCCACGACCTACCGTCCACGGTGACCTGGCAGGAGCACTCAGCCTGACCGGCGCTGTTCTTGGCTACGCACTTATACAGGCCTCTGTCCTCAGGCAGCGCCTTCTCGATGGAGACAGAGCAGAGGGAGCCTAGGGAGGAAAAGGGAAACTGTTGAGTAGCCCAGGTGTGGCCTCGATTCCTGCTCTGGCATCTGGAGCGTGGAGCTGAAGGTTATTCACACGAGCAGGTTCTGGGAGCCCAGAAGTCAGAGGCCCTGTGCTCCCCAAAGCCTGGGTGCTCTCCGCTAATAACCCACGTCCATAGTAAATTACCCCGAAAGATGCTTCCCCTGGCACCCCTCCCCACCTCCAGAGTCCTTGTGCAGGGCCACAGAGGAAGCATCCACTACAACAGAAGGGGCGAGTAGACTGCGGTCATCCAGAGAGCTCAGGAGGCAGGCCTGCATCAGAACAGGGGCAGGGAAGGGGCTCTGCCCGGCATATGGCAGTGATCTTGGGAATGCATCTTGGAAAAGGGAGTTTTCAGGGAGGCGGATGGGGAAAGGCAGGAACCCTGTCCAGCAGGGGCCAGGCCTGGGGGAAGATCTGCTATGAGGAGAAGCTGACTCCAGCCTGGGAGCCTGGGGAGGACTTTTCAGGAACGGCATCTGGGCTAAAAAGCCATGGCCAATAGGGGGTACCTGGCTGGGGGAAGGGCACTTTGGGACTGCCTCCTTTAGTACCAAGTCTCAGAGAGGGGTCAGGATGGCCTTCTTCCCCACAGACCCTCCCCTGACTCTGCCCTCACCCTTGGACGAGTCTTGTGGTCTGACAGGGGAAGGAGGGGCCAAGCTGACACATGCAGGAAACTAGCTTGGTCCTTCCTCACCCCAGTTCTCTCTCTGGGGCACCCTCTTGAGGGGTTTCCCTCTGGGACTGGGGAGAGGCCAGCTCAGGACTGTACTGCTGGGCCAGGCAGAAGGGCCGCAGTCCCCTGGTCCCGGCCTCAGACACAAGCGACCAGCCCTGCACCCTGCTTGTAGCTTCCCCTGTTGTCAGGGTGGCACCCATCTCATGGGAGGAGACAGCTAGAGCCACGTGCACCCTGCTGCTCAGAGCCCCCCACCCCCACGAGCCAGGGACCTGCAGCGCAGAGCCGTGTGTACCCCGCGCACGTGCCAGGCAGGGCAGCAAGCCCAGGAGGCCACCAGGCACTATTCCCACAGCAGTCTCTGATCTCCGGAAGCACTCCTCTGCCACTGCCCCCCGCTCCCCCACTGGACAGCTGCACAGGCCGACCTGCAAACACAGGATGCCAGAGAGAGGAAGGATGGCATCGGGTCTGCCCAGAGAGCCTGGCCAAGGATGGAAAAGGAAGTGAGGGCATATTTCTCTTCCCTCCTTGGAACCTGCATCATGTTTCAAACAGAGACTTGAGTCTCGCAAACCACCTACACCCTGACAGCTTCCCTGCACCCCATCCTTACCAGCTAGACCCTTCTCTAGACCCTGCCTCAGGGAAAGGCCTCACCCCATCTCCCACAGGAGACAGAATTTGCAGAAAACGCAACAGAGATGATTCGGGTGGGATTTCGGGAAGCCTGTCGGGGGAGTGAGAACTGAGGCTCAGGCACAGGCGACAGGATAGCATCTTCCAGAGACACACCCTTGGTCGAGTGGGCAGCAGGGTGCTTAGAGAAAACCAAGCCCATCTAGCAACTTCCCCTTGGTCAGGCTAGGCGAAAGCTCTGGGGAGCAGATATCCACCCCCAGTGAACATCCTGTTCGATGCTTGGTTTTCTTTCATTTTCAGTCCCTCAGCTGCCTCCCAACTTCACCTAAAATGACATAAACTGCAAGAAGGTTGGGGGACTACCCGGGGAGCATGGGCCATTTCCACCACAGCCCCGTCCCTCTGCCCAGGGGCAGGCATCGGGTCAGGAGCCAGGACCCCTGGCCACAGGCTGGGCTGGGGGAGGGCCCCCAGGCAGGCTTGGAGGCTCAGCTACCCCAGATGAAGAATCTGGTATTTCCTGTGGGACAGCTCTTTCCTGACCTCCAGAAGAAAAACCGTTTCCCAGCATTTTTTTTTTTTTTCAGAAGCCTTAGTCTGATGGGGAATTTTGAGAGGGAGGTGAGGGGGATGGGAGGGATCAGAACCTGGAATTTGCAGACCGGCTCAGGCTGGGAGAGTCCTCCTGGCCATGGAGTAAGTGCTCCAGATCTGACGGCCCCAGCTCTCTGCTCCTCTGAGTCGGTGGGGAGAGGACAGGAAGGGGATGGGTGAGGGGGGGAGTCTCTCAAAGCCCTAGAGGCTGTGCTTGAAGACCACCTCAGTCAGCAGTGCCAAGAGGACACAGCCCACCTGGCAAGTCTGGCTCATCCCCAAGTGGCGTCCTCAGGCAGGTGCCTTCCATACCACCTCTAAGCCTCCTGGCCTTAGGTAGAACTCTTCCTTGCTCTCAAGTCACCTGTGGTTTTTTTGTTTTGTTTTGAGAGGTTTTTGCTATAGGGCGTGTGCACTCACCAGAAAGACAGACAGAGACAGAGACAGAAAGTGAGAAATCACCCCCTGGGGAGATGGGCACGCCGCAATCCCTTCTCCTCCATTCTCCTCTCGGGATCCTAGGCACGGCGCATGGCCCAGCGTGAGTTTAAGCCACTGGGTCTGGGACTCAAACTGCGGTCAACTACATAGGAGTCCAGTTACATAGCCATTACACCAACTGTTGGTCCCTTGCCTGGGCTTTGGACCTTTGTCAAAGTATGGCCCACAAGGCCATGGCTGCAACACATGCCTGCCTCCCACACTATCTCTGGGGGCAGAGGCCATGTCTAGCATGAAGGCTTTTTCTGAGTCTGATGTGCAGTCATGGAAAAAATATTGTCCACTCTGAGAACAAAAGGCACGTTTTTTTTTTTTTTTTGAGAGTTTTTTTTCGCTATAGGGTGCGTGCGCTCGCCAGACAGACAGAGAGAGACATAGAGACAGAAAGCGAGAAATCACCCCCCAGGCGGGATGGTCATGCCGCAATCTCTTCTCCATTCTCCTCTCGGGATCTTGGGCATGCACGCACATGCGCCTGGCATGAGTTTTTTAAGCCTCCGGGTCTGGGATGCGAACAGCAGTCGGCTACGTGGGAGTCCAGTGACATAGCCATTACGCTAACTGCTGGTTCCCCAAAAGGCATGTTTTGTAGCAGGTGATCTGGTAGGATCTCTGCAACAAAAGGTCATGAATATGTAATCAAATACAGCCTACTGTTGAAAGAGAGAATACAGCTTCTAAAAGAGAAAAGAAATCCCAATCTAGAGTTCTCTAAGAATTATGCTATGAAGAGGTTAGAATAGTGCCTTGCACATAGTAGGTGCTAAACAAATCCACCTTTTGTGTGATGAACTTACAGATTTTTAAAAAGACTTTACAGGCCAGCCAGGTAGCATGGTAGTTAAAGTGCTGGATCCCATGTAAACAACTGTGGTTCAAGTCCCAGATCCAGCAGCTTGAAAAACACGCTGGCATGTATGTGTGCAAACCCAAAATCCGAAGAGGAGAATGGAGGAGAAGAGATTGTGGAGTGGCCAACCCTCCTGGGGGAGTGCTTTCTCACTTTATCCCCCTGCCCCCCACAAGCACAGGCATCCTATGACTAACTTGAAAAAAAAAATGAAAAAGGCTGCAAGATTCTACCCTGAAAGCAATTAAAATGAATCATCAGTTAGTTGACAACGGCAACAAATGAAGCCACCTTATGAGATGAGGAGAAATGTTTTGCTGGAGGGGAAAAGCCTGGCCCTGAGACAAGCAAAGCTGGAAGGTAAAATACGAGCTTCTCGGGAGGACCCAGCATTCCCTGGGCTCACAGGCCATCTGCCTCCTGCCCCCAGCCAAGGCAGGGCAAGAAAGGGCCCAGCCCCAGAGGCAGGCCCAACGGGTGGCACCTGGGCACCATGGACCCTCCAGCTCTATGGGTGTAGGAAGAGGAAGGAGACTTCATATTCTGTGTCCCTCCAAGAATTAATGGACAACTCCGATCCTTCTCTCGACTACATCACGCCTCTTCTCTGCTCTGTGCGAAGTGGGGTGCATATAATTCTGTACTGAAGGCCCGTGGGCTATGTGGCTTATTCAGGTTACAACGAACCTGAAGAAGAGAGCCCCCTGAACCTGCAAAGAGAGCGTCCATTAGCAGTTGGCACACACGTGCTGATGGGGAGGGGAGAGAGTGCAGGAGTCTCTTGTTGGCCAAGGTGGTGACAACAGTCTTGGGGGGGCATCCCAGAGACAATGAATCTTGATCATAGAGGAGGTGACAGGTTGAGATCAGTGCAGCGGAACAGGAAGGGTGCTGAGTCAGGGAGGATGCTGACTGGAGAGTGAAGGCTGGGAGGCCGGTAGAGCCAATCCTTTCATCTTCCCCTAAAAGTCCCCTCAGACCACCAGCTTCCTTAATTCCACTGACACCATCACTGTCGCCCCAGACACCCAGGCAGCTCCACTCAGCGCACCTCTTCCTCTTCTTTATCCACCCCCTGCCCCATGCTGACCTTCAAGCCAGGCGACAGGTCCTAATTATTTCTGTCCTTGCCTCTTGGCCTGGCTATGTCCTGTCTGTGACCATGGCTACCATGTCAGTCCAGCCCCGGTATCTTTGTCCTTGACCTCTTCAGTGGACTCTGTACTTGCCTTTTGGACACAGTCAATCAAAGCTCCTGTAAGTCAGCTTCGTGTATAGTGCTTCTCATTCTATAATCGTGTACGGCTCCTATTGCCTTTAGACTCAAGTTCCTTGGCATGACAGAATGAAAGTGTTCCCCCCAGGCCATAGCTGGCTATGAGTAAGCCAGCCTTTGCTGCTGCGGGTCCCTGTCTTGAGAGCCACCCCCTGCTCTCTTCGCTGCTGGTCTAAGTCCTGCCCTTGAACACTCAGATCAGGGCCCAGCATTTTCACTGCCAGCTTTTCCCTAGACACCTGCCCCCTACCCACACTCGACTCTGACGTTCAGCAGCTCCTCCTGACACACTCATCCGCACTTGACTCCAACAGTTTCACCACTATGAGAGTGTGTCCTCTCTTCCCAGATCTGCCAGGACACCATCCACTCTACCTCCTAAATGCCCGACTCCCTGCAGTGAGACCTGCTGAAGTGGTAACTGATAAGGCTTTAAGACACTTTTTCTCTAACAAGATACTCAGTAAAAGAAGGTCTGAGATTTTAAGAAAAGGCACACATCCGTACTGTGGCAAGAAGGTCCCCTTCCTCCACTGCAGGGGAAGTGCCAGAAACTTGGCCAGCCCAGGGACACCGCTCGTCTTTCAACCACAGCTGTTAACCATATAGAGGAATAAATAGGCTTTCTTTTTTTCTGTTGATGGGCAAATCCTCAGCTTCCACTGGAATTCTGATGAACTAATAAGAATTAACTAGCAAGTCACAGCATAGTGGTCTAGGCATGGGAACTCAACCACCTGAGTTCAGATCCCAGCTCTGTTACAAGTCGTGCACCTTCACAGATGTTAGATGGACATTATAGTAGTAGTTGTGAAGGTGGATTAGGTTTTTGTCACAATGTATGAGTTTGCCAAAGAGAGACAAGAGCAACAGTGAGAAATCACTCCCAGGGAGGATGGCCATGCCACAATCCCTTCTCCTTCATTCTTCTAGGATTTTGGGCATGCTCGCACACATGCACCAGGTGTGATTTTCAAGTCACTGGGTCCGGGGCTTGAACCATGATCAGCCATCGTGGGAGTCGTGCCTAAACCACCACACCACCTGCTGGCTTCCCCACCCCTGATGAGCACACACACACAGAGCTATATGTATGTATATATATGTATATGTGTGTGTATATACATACACATGCACACACACACATATAGTTTTTTATGTTGTTGTTTTTCCTACAGGGTGTGTGTGCTCACCAGCAGTGGGGGGGGGGGTAGTGGAAAGAAACTGCCCTCCAGAGGTATGGCCACATGACAATCCCCTCTCCTCCAGTCCTCTATAGGATTTGGGGAGCACACACACACACACACATACCACATACTTGGTGTTTTTCAAGTTGCCCAGCCTGGGACTCAAACCGCGTAGCTGGCCATGTATAATCCAGCTGCCTTAAACCTCCATGCCTTCTGCCAGCCCTAATATATATATATATATTTATAATAGAGAATGAGTGCATGCATGAGAGAAGAAAGGGAGATAGAGAGGAAATTACCCTTAATAGATTCTTATCGTGCTGCAATCCCCTCTCCCCAGATTTCTAACTTCTTAGGATGTTTGGCACCTGCATGTCTACCTGACGTTTTCAGGCTGACCAGGGGATCTGAACCTTCAGTAGGCTTGTGGCTTCCAGACTTACAGGTGAGCTGCACTACTGCTGAGCCACAGTAGCTGGGCCTAGAATAGTATTAAAGTTTCGTTTGGGGGTTACCTCTACAATCCTCCCCCAGCCTCCTAGTCTCTCTCCATCCTCTCCTGCACTGGTCTTCTTTGAAGCTGTTCTGCTGCTGTTCTGGACCTAAACTGTTCCCTGGGACAGTCTCCCTGGGAGGTGATGCTGGAGTACCTGGGGTCACTATGCCCTTTAATACTCAGAGACAAGAAGAGAAAATATCCTCCAGGCACTCTGGGCATGAGAGGCCAAGAGGCTAACAGCTCATATGCTTAGTTGAGTGGGTTGTCTTTAAGAGGCCATTGGTTGTGGGACCAGCAGTTAGCATAATGGCTATGTTGCTGGACTCCCATGTGATCGACCGTGGTTTGAGTCCCGGACCCGGTGGCTTAAACCCATGCCAGGCGCATGTGCGTGCGTGCCCAAGATCTCGAGAAGAGAACGGAGGAGAAGAGATTGCGGTGTGGCCATCCCTCCTGGGAGGTGATTTCTCGCTTTCTGTCTCTCTGTCTCTCTCTATCTTTCTGGCAAGTGCATGCACCCTATAGTAAAAACTTCTCAAAACAAAACAAAACAAAAAAACTGGTTGCTCTCAGACCCCAGGCAGGTCTCAGAGCAGCTGCACAACTTTGGGCCTTGTCCTCAGCTGTCTGATCCTCAGTTCCCCTGAGACTGGTGCAGCCCATGTCCCAGGGAAGGCAGCTGCCCACTCTCCATCCCACCTGGAGAGATCACCACAGGGTTACTTGGAAAAAGCTCCCAGTCCAGGTTTCTGATCAGGCCTTTCCAACAGGGAGAGCTCCAGAGGGGTAACTGGGAAGGCTGTCGCATCCACCCCCATGGACATCTTACCCCCTCACCGTAATTGGCCGTGCCCACCTGTGGATGCCCTAGGCTGAACTAGCAGAGGCAGGGGAACAGACGAGATGACTTAGAGGGCACTGCCCATCTGGGGACGTTCACATGCAGAATTTAAACGTGTCAGCACATCAG